AGCAACTGTACTAAAAGGTATTTGTCCAAAGAATACAAAAACACTAATTCAATGGGATACCTGCACCCCAATGTTTATAGCAGCATTATCAATAATAGCCAAAATATGGAAATAGCCCAAGCATCCAACCATTGATGAATCGATACAGAAGATGTGGTGAGCACTAATTTCACTTAGCATAATACTCTTTAGCTCTGTCCAGAGTGTTGCAAATGGCAAGATTTCATTCTTTTTTTATGGCTGAGTAATACTCCATTATACATAGCTATCTATCTATCTATATCTATAGATATATATAGTAATATTCCAATACATCTATCTATCATCTATCTATCTATCTATCTATCTATCTATCATCTAAAGATACATATATATTAACTGACTGGAATTTAAAGAAAAACTTAAAAAATACATAAAAAGAAAAATATAAATGGCATCACCCTAAAATAAACATACAGATAAAAATTTACAGTTTTTGCTATAGGGTTCTGCACACAATGGGTATTCAATTAATTTTGACAACGTCATAAAAAAAGGATGGGATTTTTTTCATGCATAAGAAAATGTTCACTTTTAAACATGAGAAAATCATTTTAAAACATACTTGTGTCGTAACTAAACACAAACAGGTCCTAAAAGGCAATACCCCAAAGGAGATCACCTCTGAGAACTGAATCAAGCACAGCACTTGGTGATCCAGTCTTAGGAATCCAAATGGGAATTTGCAATTAGATCAGATAGGTTAGGTGAAGGCGTGGTGACAACAAATCACCAAGTCTCAATGCTTTATTTTCTTTTTTGTGTTTATGTACTCCATCATTTGGAGGTGGCCTTCATTTCTTTATTTCTTGAAAATTGCTAATTTGTGGCTGAAGGCAAAGAGAAATGATGGAACCACAGGAAGGCTGTTAAAGATTCTGCTTGAAAGTGGCACACATCACTTCTGCTAACATTTTATTGGCCAAAGTAAGTCATATGGCTAAGCTGGATATTGTGAAGTGGGAGGTTTTGGTCCCAATGGGGTGACACAAACATTTCAAAAAATAATTAAATTTATGCAGTATCTCTCCCTATAAAGAAACTACAAACATCTACCATCACCACCACTACAAACACCTGATTTATCTTCCCTTCTATGAGTAATATTAAAATTTTTTTGAGGTTTAGCATGAGGCATTTTTTTCTGCTAATGTGCAGAAATTTTATCAGTTTTCTTAGAGGAAAAAAATCTGTTCAAACCTAGACTGGCAATTTTTTTAGTAAGAGCCTACTATGGTGAGGGCACTATGCTGATCCTTGGAGGAAAAAGTGTAAATGAATGCACAATAATTCCAGATGAATAATGTAAATTAAATAAATTTGTACATACATACATATGTGGTTTATACAATATTAAAAGTTAATTAAATTACTTTCAAACTGTGGATTGCACGCACATAGGGACTTCCTTCCAAAGAATAAAGTGTGGAAAGGAGAGAAGAAGAGTAAATTTACAGTAAAGAAATCTGGCAAACAGTAGTTTAGCCAGATCAACATCAGCAGTGATAAATCATGTTGCTAGTATGTACCCCTGACATGATGTGCTGAACATGGCATTCTGCCTCTATGATTTTCCTCCCATTACCCATAATCCAAGTCTCAATCCAAGAAAAACATTAGGCAAATTCCAGTAGAGGGGCATCCCGAATTATAGCTGATCATCATTTCTCAAAGCTGTCTTGGTTATCAATATAAGGAAGGTATGAGAAACTATCACAGCTAAGAGGAGTCAGAGGAAACATGACCACTAAATACAATATGGGATCCCTAGACGGGATCCTGAAATAGAAAATGGACATTGGAGGGGGGGCCCTGGGTAGCTCAGTTGGTTAGGCGTCCAACTCTTGATTTTAGCTCAGGTCATGATTTTGGGGTTGTGGAATTGAGTCTGGCATCAGGCTACTTGCTCAGCACTAAGTGCTGAGTCTGCTTGTCCTTCTTCCTACCCCAGCTTGTATGTGCTCACACTATTTATAAACAAATAAATAAGAGAAAAATGACATTACATAAAAACTAAGGAAATGTGAAAAACTATGAACTCCACAGTTAATAATAAATAATAATGTCTCAATATTAATTCACCATTTGTAACAAATATGTCAATAACACAAAATTATGTGTGTATGTGGGGGGACATATGGAAACTATACAGCTTCTCAATTTCTCTATAAATCTAAAATTGCTCTAAAAATAGTCTATTAAAAAAACCTATAAAAATGTGATTATGTGATCTGTCTTCAGAATTGAGGAGAGTATAAAACCAGAAAAAATTTGAAATAGTGTCATAAATGCTTTAATATAGGTTTGAAGGGAAAGTGGTGGGAACCCCATCAGGACTTTTAAGAGAAACTCTAACCTTTTCTACTAAACATTATCTTAAAATATTTGAATCTCCAGTAGCACCTAACAAGTGCCTTGCTTAAAGTCAGCAATCGAATATCTAAGAGAATGATGAGGAATTCAGCTCCCTGTTGTCAAATGACCTAGATGTGGTAGAAATAATTAGACATGGGTGAATGTTAGCTATGCCCTCTACCACCCTAGAAGGTGGAAACAAATTTCAGTTCAAAAACTGCCATGCATACTTTATTACACAGACATTTGGTGAAATCCCAGTACTTTGTCTTTTTTTGTGCTTCAAAAGGTTTTTTGTTTTTGTTTTTGTTTTTTTTTTAGACAAGAAAGGGAAAATTGTTTCCCTTTGGGTCAGTAGTAGGCAAACACAATCATTACATATTAAAAAAAAAAGTAAATAAAGGCTAGACACTTGACCATTTCAGAAAGGACTCTATTTTGGACGGTAAAGGGTTAAAGGTCTCTAGATGTTTATACCCGTGTATGCCTAGTTCATATGTGAATGAGAAGCTTAAAATATTTTAGTCAATATCCAACACAACCATTTTTACTACTGAAATCCCATTATCAAGATTCATCTTTCTGATGAACACAGGCCCTAGTGTAGATAGAAAATTAAGCAAGCTAAGCTCTAGCACCAACAGGTTTACGATTGTGACTTTTTAATTTAAAGCTAGCTGACCATCCATGTAGTGTGAATTCCTGATTAGAGCAAAGTGAGGGTTAAATCAACCACGATAAGCCTTCATTCTACTATAAATGCTGAACTATTTTAAATTAGACGCCACACCGCCGAGTTATCTTGGTCTTTTCCCATTGATCTGTTTTAATACTACTAGGGTTTAAACCAAACCCAGGCACTATATGTGAGACCTTAGTCGAATCACATTACTCCTGGATTCCTGTTCTTTTCTCTGAAAACGAGGGCACTAGGTTAAGTGTCTCTTGTTCTTTACATCCCTATAATCTATGAGCCAGTCGTGTTTTAGCCGACGTAGTGGAAAACAGAAACGTACATGTAGAGACACTAGCTCTAATTCGTTTGAGAGGCGCATTATATACACCATAACACCAGCCTCTTGGAAGCATCAAATGTTAGCCTTAGGCAAGTTTGTTTAGGATCACAATCTTTAAAAACCATCTTTCAGGGTTCTACCCTGTAAAGACGATTTTTTTTCCAAGGTTTTATTTATTTAATCATAGAGACACAGAGAGAGAGAGGCAGAGGGAGAAGCCGGCTCCTTGCGGGGAGCCCGACGTGGGACTCGATCCCAGGTCCCCAGGATCACACCCTGGGCTGCAGGCGGTGCTAAACCCCTGAGCCACCCGGGCTGCCCTTGCAAAAACGATTTTATAGGTGTAAGTGATATTAGTATAGACTAAGTTATAGCAATTAAAAAAAAAAAAGGTCTGCCAGGTAAAAATACTAACCACTGAAAGGGATCACCTCATCAGTTCTCCGACCTAACTAACTGCCTTCCTTCCATCAGGGTTGGTCTCAGCGCAGATGGTGCTCCCTGGACAGCCTTAAAACGCGACAAACTAAATCATGTTTCCAATAGCAATCACCAGATTTCCTCTCATTTCCCATTTGGTTTTTTTAAACCCCCTAAACGCAGCGTTTTCTCTTAAAATCCCCTTGAATGATTGATTCTTCAGGCTGCAAGCGTTCTGTGTGTGGGGACCGCTCCCGGGACCGCCCCACGCGCTCCCTCCTCTCGAAACCGAGCGGCGGAGCTGCGGACCCGCGGGCTCTGCGGGGCGCGCACCTGAGCGGCCCGGGCTCCGCGGCTCCGGCCCGCAGCGCCCCGGGTCACGGCCGCGGGCAGCCGAGAACCGCGCGGGAGGAGCGCGGGTCGCCCCGGCCGTCACCGTGCGCCCCGCGGGGGCGTGTTTCGCTCCAGAAAGCCAAGGGCTCTTAGGCAGCCGGTCCTCCCCCTGCGAGGAGGCGTCGCTCCAGCCCCGAGCTCCCCTCCGCTCCACCCTAGGCGGCTCTCTGGGTCCTGCTGCCTCCCGCGCGCGCCTGCTCGAGCCTCGGCCGCGCGCGCCCAGGTGTCCCCGCGCTCCCGGTCCCCCCTCCCCCCCCCCCCCCCCCCCGGGCCGCGGCTCCCGGGCCTGCGGGTCTCCGGTCGCCCGCCCAGCCTCCCTTCCCGCCCGGCCCCGCCCAGCCTCCGCCGCGCAGGGGCTCCTGGCCTGGCCTCTCCGTCTCCCTCCCACCTCCGCCCCCCTCCTCCCCAAGAGTTGCTATTTTTAGTAAATCCTCCGCGCGCCGCCACCGGCTCAGCTCGCAGCTCGCAGCTCGCAGCTCGCAGCCGCGCGCACCGCCCTCCCGAGCTCCCCCCGCCCCCCCCCCGCGCGGTGGCCGCGGCGGCGGCGGCGGCGGCGGCGGCGCGTCCCGCACCTCGCGCAGCGCGCACCGAGCCGGCCCCGCCGCGCCCGCCACCCTCGCGGCGGTCTCCTCCGCAGGCGCCTGTCGCGGCCGGTAAGTCCCTGCCGGCGGAGCAGCGGCGGTGCCCGAATCAACTTTCGATCCCCGCTCTGCTTCGGCCTCGCCATTCTCTTCTCCGCGAAACATGGCTGTTTGGAGACGGGGGAGAAGTTAGGGGGTCGCCGGCGCGGGGCGCAGGAGGGCGCGACAGCCTCAGCAGGCGCGGGCGGAGGTGAGTGGCACCGCGGCCGGCTCGGCGGCCGGTGCCCGGGGGACAGCCCTGGGAATCGGGGGCCCAGCGCCCCCCACCCCGCCCCCCGCCCCCCGCCCCGGATGTAGCGCTGGGTTCCCGGCTCGGTTCCCGCAGGTTGACAGCATCCCAGGCGGGACCCCGACGCTGCTGGCCTTGCGTCTCCCACCCCCGGGGCTGGTGGCTTTTAAGGGAACCTTTGTCACAAGTTGAGCGCCAGGTGAAGCAAGGAGACGTGGGCTGCGGCCAGCCCAGGCGAGGGGTCGGTGACACGACGCCCCCGCCCCCCAGCGCGCACACACACACGCGCACACACACGCACACACACCCCAGCTCCTGCAGGAGCCGAGTCATGAATGAAAAGTTTGCGCTGCCAACGTGTTGCTGGAGGGGAGCGGTACTCAGCGGGGCTACCTTTGATGCGTCGTGGGCGGGGGGGGGGGGCTTGAGTTCCAAGTCCATATGCAGGTAGAATTCTAGGCTCTTAGGAAAAGTTCCGGAGCCGCCTGGGGGCGGGGGGGAGGGTGGGGCATGATGCAGTTTCTTAGCTAGTGGAAGGAGACGGGTGAATCGTAAACTTACTAAGGTGAACTGGTTAATGCAACGCCACGAGGGTGGCACAGTGGGGACGGGAGGCAGCAGAGGACAGGGGGCGTCCCCCCGAGTGCCGGGCGGGCAGCGCTGGGCTCTGAAGCCACCGGCCCGCGGGCCCGCGGCGAGCTGTCAGGCCTGCGCGGCCGCCGTGTGCTGCCGCGGGCGCGGGACTGAGCGGCTCCCCGGGCCCGGGGCCAGGTCGCGCGGAGAGGCCGCCTGCAGCCCGGAGCCGAGGACGCGCGGCTCAGGCCACTCGCTGCCCCCGGGAGTCCTCTAGCGAGGCTGCTACGCTCTCATTTCAGAAAGATGTGTGGCGTCTGTTCTCCCTGCCGGGAGGTGCGTGCAGTCTCCTGGAAGGAACTTTGAGGCTCGGCAGCCGTGATATTCTCAAATCTGTGAGAGAGAGGCCGGCCACACAGATCCCCGCCTACGTCCACCGGGCGCGCGTGCCTCTGTGCGCGCGTGCACAACGCGGGAGTGGGGTCCGGGGGGCTGAAGAAGTTGAACTTACCCTGGAAAAGAAAGTGAAGAGTTAACGGTATTTTCTCCCCAAAGGGTCGAACAACCCTACGACTGAATACTCCTCTTGGTGTGTGGAGATGTCTCAGAAAGGGTAGGCTTTAGGAATTACAGGCATTTAGGGTACAATCCATGTTTCCAAATCTTGCGAGCGTTATTGAAAGCTAGAGGAAGGGAGTAGGGAGTAGGTAGGTGGAGAATGCATGCTAAAGAAAAAAAAAATATTTGGAAAGAGGACATTTTGACATTTGGAAAGGTCTGGATGTTATTTTCTGATGCGCTGCACATCTTTTAAATCCTGTGATTAATAACAGCACAGAATAAGTTGCAGTTAGTGAATGAGGACAATTAAAATATCATGTTTGGAAAAGATATCTTTTGAAGTACTCTTTGGTCCTTTGGATGTTTATTACGGGAATTACTGTGACTGAAAACTTGTTGCTCAATATATTTGCTTTTTACCACAAGTAATTAGTCCTCCTTTTCCTTTTAAACTGCTATTCCAGTTTGGACCAACTTAATTACCCAAAGACCAAACCACTGTTGTGCCTTCTGGGAAGTATTTGCATTTAAAACTACTTAATAAGAATATTGTATTTCCAAAAAGACAAATAACGTAGTCAGTTGTAAAACTTTCTTGTAATTTATTTTCATCCATTTTGTTTGAATGAGGCAGATCTCAAGAAGAGAGAATTTCCTTGGAATATGTCATATTCTGTGTGAGGAGAAAGTGAATATTTTCATGTTTTAGTCACAAACAGGTGCAAATAGAGTGGGAATCCTGAGTCTGACCTTTGATTTTAGACTGCCAGCTAGAGGGAGAGGTGCTTTCCCAGCTCTCCTCCCGAATTGATTGTCTTCACTCAGAATGGATATGGTTAGATGCATATAGGATTGTGCAAATTCAGGAATTAAGAGATTTAAATTAAGTACCACTTAATTTTGGTTGGGAAGGGCGTGGTTTTTTTCTTTTCTTTTCTTTTCTTTCTTTTCTTTTTCTTTTCTTTTCTCTCTTTTTTCTTAAACCTCAGTCTTCCTGTTTTTTTCCCTCTGCAATTCAGCTTATTGGACTGGCCTTCATTGGAAAGTCAGACCAAACACTTCTTTGGCTACAGTGTTGGGCATATTAAACTGCTTTCCTCTAAAAATAATGATGGCCTTTCTGAAATAAAAAAGGGACTTTTATATACTGTAACAGACTTTTTTTTTATGATAGTCACAGCGAGAGAGAGAGAGAGAGAGAGAGAGAGAGAGAGAGAGAGAGAGGCAGAGACACAGGCAGAGGGAGAAGCAGGCTCCATGCACCGGGAGCCCGACGTGGGATTCGATCCCGGGTCTCCAGGATCGCGCCCCGGGCCAAAGGCAGGCGCCAAACCGCTGCGCCACCCAGGGATCCCTAACAGACTTTTATGATTGTTTTATGACCACTACTATGCCCATTATTATGGTAGACAGTTGCTTCATGAAGTTACTGCCTATATATATATATATATATATATATATATATATATATATATAATTATTCTATGTATTTGGGGTATGTTTGGAATGTATTTGGGTTTCTAAGAATTTTAAATCATGAAGCCAACTGACCGGTTAAGTTGTCTAACTATAGTTACAGTGATACACATAATTTAGATTTGTATTAATATCAACAGCTAAGGATGTTTTACAGTTACACGGCTTTCATTTCTCTTCATTAGAATTATCTCTATTTTGAATTTGTTTAAATATTACAACATATTATACTGCAATTTACACCTGCTCAGCAGGGAAGGTGTAGGTTATTCTTAAATAGAGATATGGAGAAATAGCTAACAAGGAGAGTCATTTGAGAAACATATGGACATCATAAAATCCTTCTGTATGTAGCATCTGTACCTTCTCATTAGTGAAATATTGTAGTTATGGACATTTTTTATTACACTGAAATGTGGCTTTTTATTTTTGCTTCGATGGGGTTTTTTTTTTTTAAATGTAATTATATTAATGTGTAAGTTGGTGGGGGCTTTTATTGTTTGAAGCCCTTTCCTTTCAATAAAGATGTCACACTTAGTTTTTATTGCACACATCCGCACATTTATACAGTTGTTTCCTAGCTTGTTATTATAACTCTTACCTTTCTCAGATATTCTTCAAAACATTTGAGAGGCAGGTAGGAAGACATATTGTTCTCGTTTTCAGAAGAAGGCAGCAGGTACACCGATAGATCCAAGGTCACACACTAGTGAATCAGTGTGAAGCTAAGGGTAACATATATATTTCTTGTATTCTGTTCGTAATAGCAAGCTGTTCCTGTGGCTATGTTAAATGATATTTTCATAGATTTATACATTCCTGGATTTTTAAAGTGCTCAGCTTTGTAGATATGCTGATCAGATTTTATATCCATCAATACTGTCATAAGGGAATGGGTCCTTACTGTGGCCTGCTGATGGGGAGAACCGTGACCCCAGGAGCCAATGCTGAAACAAACATACACACCTCTGAGGGGTAGCCATTCTTGCTGTCAGTTCATATGCCACACATTTCTCTGTCCCCACTGGCACTACCTTATCAACTGCATACTGTCCTTTGAGTAGTCAAGGCTGCTTTGAATTTTATCAGCACATTCATCAAGCTTGAAGATCATCAGACTCACTGGTGAGAGAACTCGGAATGTGATTTTTGAGAAGATAGGATATTGACTGAGGACAGTAATGGACTGTCCACTGCAGAGCCAGCCAATATCGATTAAGGATCATGTTTTTCTGGGTGTCAGGACACCCATCTTCTCTCATTAGCTCTGCGTCTTTGGCTGAACTTACAGAAATCAAAGTGAGGGTTTATGCAATTATCTGATTGTTTCTGTTCACGTAGATAATGTGTCTAGATAAATCAGACTTAAAAACACAACAAAAAAGAAAAGATGGCAACTTGTTCTTTTGTGGCGAAGGTACTCATGACTTTTCATTTTTTCAAATTCCCTGTTTTTCGAATCTCACTAGAATTTTTCAGGGTAATTGCCCACATGATTTGCAACAACCAAGACTTATGATATTATATTGTTAGATTCAAAAGTGGAATACATTATCCATGATGCAGAAGAAAGCATTGTGTTGTCATAGAAAAAAAAAACTTGTTATGCAAGGTTTATTTGGCTAAAATATTTTCAGCATTTTCTAATAAGGCGATGGTACTAGGTGCTCTCTCTACTACGTTTATTTATTTACCGTCCTTTCCATAAATATATGGTTTATAAAAGGGGTTCATCCAAACATTTTTAAGTGTGAAAGAAATGCTGGAAAAAAAAGTTACTTTTCAAGTGTGGTTTGTCATTCGATATAACGGATTCTGTTTAGGGTCACAAAGAGAAGAAAGCACCCATTTTTAATATTCTTTGCTATCCCAGGGAGAGTGTAGCATGCTGCTGGTGAGTCTGAGTAGAGTTGAAATTGCTGGAAATGGTACTTTCTTCCCATTTTTACAGAATCTATGATAAGGAGATTAGTGCGGATTAGTCTAGTTTGAATGCAGTAATGACAAGTGGAATTTGAAATGGCTAACGAAGGAAGGATAAAATTTGGTTCACTCAGATATCACTCAAGATATTTGGCAGCAAGTCACTGAAGTTACCTTTAGTTAAGCATTAAATAAATGTATTAGAGGATATTGACTCTATTTGTTTTCTGTTGCTTTGTAACACATTGCCACAAATTTAGCAGCTTGAAGCAAGGCATGTTTATTATCTCTGTTTCATTGCTCAGGAGTCCACATATGGCCCAATTGTATACTGTGTTCAGGGTCTCACCAGGTGTTGGTTAAACCTGCAGTCCTATCAGAGGCTCACTTAGGGTGAAAATCTGCTTCCAGGCCTCCTTAGATTCTTG